GGAGAGGCTCGGCTACCTCCTGAAAATGACAGAAATGACATTATATTTAACAGTAATATTTTTTATGGATGCACTTGAACTTCTTTGGATTCAAGAAGTACAAAAACAAGCCAGGCGAAATATGGAACAAAGTTTTATGGACAAATGAGGCCAAGAAGAAACATATACAAAAGTGATAGAAAAGCTAAGGAGTGGAGAAAGGAAGGAAATGCAGATGCTTCAAAGAATTCTGTCTCCTCTGCGAAGCACAGTGGAGGTAATGTCGTGGGCTGGACATGCCTTGCTGCCTCTGAAACTGGCTCAATATTTTTATTGTAAAAGTAGTCCAACTGGTGATGGCAGTAGCAGAATGAATTCTGAAGTTCACAGAAGCATGTTTGTCTGCTTATCTTGAAGAAAATGCTTCCATATATATTGGGTCGTGCTTCTTTATGCAGCATGACAATGACCCAAAACATATGGCCTATGAAGTAACCAAGGAATTCATTTGGAGAATAGAGTGGATAAAGCTTACACTAAGTCAATCTTCAGATTTAAATGCAACTCAGCATGTATTTTAAGTCAGAACACCTCCAATAGAGACAAGAACTCAAAGTGGTTGCAGCTTAGTATCTCAAAGTAAAGCAAAAATTAGTTATGGTTTTGCTGTATTAGTACTTTAGAAGGACACTGTATAAATGTGCATCATACGCTATTTATAAATATATTATAAATATTATTATTTATAATTATCCTGTATATTATCGTTTTAGCAAAATATGAAACACAAACAAAAGATTTCCCAAGTCTCCTGACAAATTTGATTTCCAACATCTTTAGTACTTGCAATATCTACTCTAATTTTCTTAACTTTTCAACCAATTGGCCCTAGCTAACCAAAAATTAACTTTAGATTCTATATTGTTTCTAGGTAGCCATTGGAAATAGGAAGGAGACTTCACAGGGCTAACGTTAGCAATTGACAAATGATGGGGGCAGGAATTGTTTGTATATATACTTAAGAGAGTGGGGTATTTTCAGGTAATTTAAATACAGTATTACTGTATATTGTATATATTTTATGAGTGTACCCATTTGCTATAAGTACAGCTTTAATTTTACAGGAGAGTATTATTACAGATAGAATTCCATCAGTTTAAAAACTTAGTTCTGCTTTACAAGCTATATAAC